TGGACGGCCGTTTCGCCCTCTATTTGGGACTCATCAGCAGTGCGCATCCACTACCGAGAATTGAAACCCGGACAGATACGATGTTGAAGTTTCTTCTAGACTCGATGAATTACTTAAATATGGTTATCTCAAATCCTCCTAATAATTTATATCACTTGTATATCCTTGCTTGAAACGAGCTTCTGATGCTCTAGATGGAGCGCGTTGGGGATAGAAATCGTGGCTCGTTTTCACAGTGCCATGGTTAGAGGAAACTCGGATGAGTTACACCACGGAATTTGTGACAAGCGACGCTACATCAAGCCTAATTTTTTTACCTCGTTGTCACCAACGCCCGTTGGTACAGTTGGTATGACGCTTTCCTCATATCGCAACTGTCCGGGTTTCAATTCTTGGTAGTGGGCGCGCAAATATTGGACGAAATCAGCGTGGAAACCAAGCCGCTACACTCTGTTCCATGCTTGAACGCAATGTATTTTGTGTTTTGTCCTCGGCTATTTATATATGCTGATCAATAATGCATAATGCATTATAGCTAGTAAGGTCTGTTGTATTATTCTAATGGTTACAAATAGTAAATACACGAACAATATAATGCTTTACCAAATATATAGGAGAAATTCAAAACAAAAAAGAAAAAAAAACATATTAAACCAAAAGTACAATGGAATATAAGGAAATCAGCATCAACAAAAATCCCAAAACTGTAAATGCTGTGAGGAGGAGAAAATAACTATAATTATCTTCCTCGACAAACAGTAATTACTAAATAAACAATCAGAACTTATCTCAAAGTTCAAACACGAAAACAAATTTACACCATGTGACTTAAAAATCAAAAACTATAAGCGAATACCTTGTAAAATATCATCATGATAAAAGCAAATATATAATTATATACAACGCGGATAATATAACATACTTTAGACAAAGCCAGTACCTTAAACTAAGCAAATGACTTAACCAACTCCCGAGAAAAAATAAAATAAACAAAAAATGTTAGATAACTAAATATATAAACAAATTAAGTAAATAATAAAATACAAATAATTAAGTAATCAATAATATATAGCGAGTAAAAAGTTAAGAACGCTATAAATAAATAAAATAAACAAAAATCTTAATAAGTAAATAAACAAATTAAGTAAATAATAAACAAATTAACAAACTGTGAATACACGCATAAACACAAGTAAATGTGATAATAATAATCAACAATAAATAATTAATAATCAACAATAAATAATTAAATAATCAACAATGAATAATTAAATAATCAACAATAAATAATTAATAATCAATAATAAATAGCGAGTAAAAAGTTAACATCACTATAAAATAGCTTCAGATAACCACGTTTTGATCCACAATTATTCCTATTCAATATCATCTACAATAATCGTTACCGCCTACCTAATAAGCGTTAACATAATGCAATAGACTTTACTACCCATAATGCAACATTGTAGGTAGACATATCTTAGATTGTTTAAGCATGGATTTTATAGAAGTTGTTGATGAAATAAAGTGACGTGGTAAAATATTTATCAAAACTCCAAGTATTTGATGGGAAATGAATATTCTTTACTAATTAGGGTGACAGTTATAAAATCGAAGTCATGGCCTGTTTTGTTTCTGTGTATTAAGAGCGAGTTTAAAGGGTCTCTCTTATATTTGTAGATGCGGGCCTTTAGATTTCTAGATGTTTCGCGAATGTACGAAATATATAAAAGGTAATAGGACAGACATAAATTAAAGACTACCCAGAAAAAAAGTCCTTCTAATAGATATGGCAATACCACGAGATAAAATATATACACATCTGTTGAAGAATATAACAACATTAATATAAGGATCTTGAAATTGAAAAACATGTAGTTACTTAAAACGATTGTTACATTTATAATTAGTGGAATCCTGGGTAATATAAAAAATAGACAAGAATAATAACAAAATCCCCGGTAGGCCATGTTTGCAACAGATGAAAAAAAAGTAATTCACTGTGTGAACTACTCATTTACTCAGGAACGTATTTTCTATGTAAAGAACACACAATGTACATGTTAAGTATCATTTAACATTCGAATTTGTGCAAATGGAGTCCATATATTTATTAACTTAGTGTCTTACCCCACGTCTCGGGTAATGACACAGTAAGTGATTTTAGTAAATAATAATCAAAAGAAGACAACACCAACAACAGAAATAATAATAATAATAATAATAATAATAATAATAATAATTGTGCTAATAGCCTTGGGAAAGGTATGAATCCTTTTCTCTCCCAGCTATAGGTAAATAGCAGGATAGACCGGATTCTATAGCCTTTGATGGCAACTGGTCTACCACAGAAAGAAATGGCAACATATTGCGAGGAAAAATCTGCCTCGTCAGTCATGTATCGAAAGATACATGATTGCCTAAGCGTGTATCACGCATGGTACATAACTGACTGAATAATAATAATAATAATAATAATAATAATAATAATAATAATAATAATAATAATAAAATGACATTCAAGAAAGGGAGAATTACAGAGACGCACTCAACAGATCTAGACTTTGTCACAAAGATTAGGGAAATGGAACAAGGAGAAGCCTATAGGTACCTAGGAATTTAGGGAAGGAGATGGAATACAGCATACCCAAATGAAGGCGAAAGCAAGAAAAGTATACTAGAGGCGTGTGCGTCTGGTATTAAATACCGAGCTGAATTAAAAAAAAAACAAAACAAAAACAAAAAACAAACAAAAAAAAACAAAAAAACACTAGAATATCAGTCACATTGGCTGTCCCCGTGGTGCAAATTCAGTTTCAACATCCTTAACTGGACCATAGCTGACATTAAGCGAATGACATGCAAGTAAATCATAATATGCCTATCAGAATAATTTTGACATGCAAGTAAATCATAATATGCCTATCATAATAATTTTGACATGCAAGTAAATCATAATATGCCTATCATAATAATTTTGACATGCAAGTAAATCATAATATGCCTACTGAAGTTGCAAAAACCTTAAAAAGGGAAGCAAAGGCAAATGAAATCGACTAGATACAGAAACGATGTCAGGATAAACTTCTTCACGGTCAATCCTCTACACGTGCCAAAAATAGTTGACGTAGACAAACCCCGTACACGTCAATGGCTACGTTGTTTTATTCTTGTTGTTCAGAACCAATGCTTGCTAATTAGAAATTCCCAAGCTTACATGGTGAAAAATTGCAAATTCTGTGATAAATATCTTGAAACAACTGACCATCTTGTATCAGATTCCATGGTATTGGCACCAACTGAATATAAAACCCGGCATGATAGAGTGGGCCAATATTTGCATTGGAAAATCTGCAACCTTTACGGAAAGGAAACTGCGAGAAATTGGTATGAACATCACCCAGACCTGGTTACAGAGATAAGTCCAGTAACAATTTTAATAAACTTTACAATACACACAGACAGAACAATCAAAGCTAACCCCCTAAACATTGTGATCAGAGACCACAAAAACAGAATGTGTTTTTTTTTATATGGCAGTAATTGCAGATTGTAATATATCTTTGAAGATCTCCCAAACACTATCAAAACACAAAAATCTTGAAGTGAAAAAAATGTGGCACATGAGGAGACCAATAATTCCTGTTGTAGTTGGAGCCCTCGGGTTGATTGGAAAACGTTCCGATAGACTCATTGAAGGGATTTCTTGTAGCCCATGCCACACAAAAAAATTGTACACACAAGTACAGCTCACACATTGTGATCTTTTTTTAGTGGAAGATGTCATGAAGCCATTTTTGACGTTAGCTTCTCTGGTTGGAACCCCGAAAGTAAATGCGTATACAACAGAAATACAAGGAAATAATAATAATAATAATAATAATAATAATAATAACAAATTCCATTGTGTAGTCTATTGATAGAAAAGCTAAGTTACCTTTGTGCAGACTGTGTAGGAAAGCCATTGAAAGTGTGCAGCATATTGTCTGTGGCCGCACTCAGCTAGCACGAAAAGAGTGCAGGTTACGCCACGAGAAAGTCGTCCCCAGAATCTATTGAACCCTATGCAGGAAGTATGGTTTCGAGTGCGCCAAGTCGTGGTACGGGCATTCAACACCGTCAGTAGTCGAGAATGAGCAAGCGAAGCTCATGCGGGATACGACTATCTTGATTGACACGCGCTTGGAGAACAATCGCCCTGATATCACACTTGTGCACTCGAGCAGTCATGTTTGGATCCTCATAGACGTTGTGGTACTTTGGGATACGAAGGCGGAGAAGACGAAAATACAGAAGTATCAAGACCTGGCAAGGCAAATTCGTTTTGTGGTTGGCCCACTCAAGACTATTTTCAAATATCTTTCTGTTTTGTAACACGCCCTGGGGATACCTGACATCACTGGGAGTGCGCAAGTGGCAGCATTTTTTTTTTTTAACAGTTCATGTGCTACGGAAAGTATCGTGTCTGTAAGCTGTGGGTGGAACTGAGATATGAACACCATTACGCGGTCAAAACATCCAAGAGTTCAAGAAGACATCAAATAATAATAATAATAATAATTGATTGATTGATTGTTTGATTTTGTACGGCTTATCAACCCTTATTATTTAAAGCCAGAAAATATTTTTTTAATTGTAAGAATATTTTTGGAGATAATGATTTAGTGATAAAAGTTTTACTAATTAATCCATAGCTGGATGATCGTACGGGAACAAGTGTTGTAATGTCGCCGTAAGCATAATAATAATAATAATAATAATAATAATAATAATAATAATAATGTGTGCACTTTGTTAGCAAATGAAAAAAATGTTTTCCTTAAGTCTCCCTAACCAACTCACGGTTGTTTATTATCCACTAGTACTCACCATATGATAGAAACTACTGTCTTAAATAAAGCATACAGTCATAACAGATAAGTTGTTGCTACTTTCCTATTTTGCTCAGCCATATTGTGAAAAGAAAACAAAAATAAAGTTCATGGAAATATCTTTCAGCTTTACACCGGTTCCCGTACGATCTCGGAAGTTAAGCAACGTCGAGCCTGGTCATTACCGAGATGGATGATCGATTGAGAGTACCAAGTGCTGTAAGCATGGATGTGCGGGTGGTGTAAAGGATAATGGTTCGAAACTGTTAATCGGAGAGCCGCGTTCCAATTCCGCTTGCGTTCGTTATATTCACTTACGCGCAAATACCTTGATAAAAGGCATGAACCCACCTCTTTCCCTCAGCTATGGGTCAATTAGTAAGACTTTTATCACTAAAACAATTATTATCTCAATAAATAAATAAATAAAATTGCGTACAAAATTTTTAGATTTCAGCATTAAATAACCCATAGAGGTGTTGATATGCCGCTAAACAAAACAACCAACTAAATTTCTGCTTTGATAGTGATTGGAAATATTATTGTAAAATTTTGACCTGTAAGTTTCTTTTTCTTTTTGTTTGTTCAGAGAACGGTGTCGCTGTCATTTTACCAAAGTGTGATATATTTTTAATTCTCGCAGATGTGCGGAGATTGTCATGGGCTTAGCAGTCGAAAGATTTCGATGAGTCACTGATTCCCAGATCATTAATCACCAAGTTGCGTGGAATAGAATCATGTGGCGATTTTATTAAAAACCAGATCGAACCAGATATATTCCCAGGAGTAGAAATTAACTTCATCTGAGGAGAATCATTTGGATTTGGGATGTACAGTATGAATCATCATGAATTTGCTCCCATTAGATTAGTCCCATAAACGCTTATTTATGGGACTAATCAATTCTCTTTTAGCCGTTACAGCCCAAGGAGAAGAAAGGCAAAATTCAACACGGGAAAGACAAAGACTAAGGACCCAACATTGTGAATTATTCACCCATATCTTTTCACGAATGAATTGGAGAATTTATTTTAAGGTAGATCATTCCGAATAATGTCAATATCATTTGAGTGTTAACTGCAAACATCAATTGTGGGCCTTTTTATAGGGTTTTCTTTTGACACTATTGTTCACCTAATGCGATGCCCAATTTAGACACATCTATACAGACGGATCAAAGTGTGATGTCAAGACAGGATGTACAGTAGAGAGCCAAAATATTACAAAAAGAAGCGTCTCCCAAAGGGAAGTTGTGTTTTCACTGCGGAGGCTTGCGCAATAGAGATATTTCTAAATATCATTACACAGAACAATCAAAATAATTTTAAAAATTTTTTCGGAACAACTATATTGGATTCCTAGCCACATCGGAGTGGAAGGTAACAATAAAACAAACCTAGCAGCCAAATCAGCTTTAGATATGAATGTAGACACAAGGACTAAAATCCCATACATTAACTTTAAGGAGCCCATTAACAGATACATTCAAAAGTAATGGCAACGGTGCTGGCACGGATAACCCACACAATAAGCTCTTTGCAACTCAGTCCAAACTAGGTTAATAGAAGTCAGATTTCAGAAAATCTTGAAAAGAAGCAGTACTGGTTCGGTTACACATTGGCCATAAGAAAATAACCCACTCGTACTTGCTAAACAAAAATTTACTAGTATACCAAACATGTGAAACGGCATACACTATTGCACTATATATATTAATCGAGTGTGCAGACATTGCTCTCTCAAGACAAAAATACTATAATATAAACAACATGTATTAGATTTTCGAGAAAGCAAAAGTGGATGACATAATATTATTTCTTAAAACAGTGGTCATCTACCAAATGAGAATGTTAATAAAATCAAATTCTCTATAAACTATATATCTGAAAAGAATCCATCAATGAAATCAGAATCTCAAAAACAAACCTCTTTATAAAAATACGCCTTATTTACAAACAAATATCTTACAAAGAATACACATTATATTCATATAAATATGTTGTAAAAACCTTGTCAGCATTAAATAACACATTGAGATTGATATGCCGTAAAATAAAACAAACCAAACCAACCCAATTTAGAATGTTACTGTATAAGGTTGTTTTATGAACGCATGAGGAGGAGGAGGAGGTAAAAATGAAAATTATGAAGAGAGGTAGAATAGATAACAGTTGACCCTAAAGGTTAAGATTATAATGATCGAGGAAGCATCCTCTTAAGAGTCTATTCCATAAGGCAGCGTTTGTTGGGAAGAAGCTTTCATTTTATCAATGGAATACAAAGAGAATGAGGATGGTTTGCCGCTATATACATGGCATACCATGGCTGTAAAGGTC